CACGGTGGAGCTACTGCTGGTGCTGAGGTCCCCGGTGCTGGTGTCCCTGCTGGCTCTGGAGACGCTACGAGGCCGCGACCGTACTTCGTCCCGCTCCTTCAGCAGGTTCTTGGTCTGGCTCCTCCTCCCTCCGTAGAGTGTCTGCAGCCTGTCCAGTCGCAGTCACAGTTTCCCCCTACCTCGCCTCTCCCTGGTCCCTCTCCTTACACCGGTCCCACAGGAGGTCTTACCGAGCGTCGTGAGCCTGCGTCTCGTCCTGCGTCGCCTGTTCGTCCTGCGCGCACTAGTCGTCGTGGCACACGTGAGCGTCCTCCTCCTGTCCCTAGCACTCACTACATGACACTGCGTCGCTCCACTGCTCCTCAGCGTGTCCCTCTGCCGTCTCCTCCTGCGTCCTCTCTCCCTACTCTTCCTGACCCGGAGTCTGACTCCCGTCGTGCTGCCAGTCCCACAGTCACGCGTCTCCTCGCCACTGTTGTCACTGACCCTACCTTTGAGTCCTCTGCTGCGTCTGCTCTGGTCGCTGAGTTGGTTGACTTTGCTGCCGCGTGCCGTCTAGACTTCGCCGCTAGCCTTGTTGCTGAGTCTGAGTCTGTCTGTCCTCCGTCCGTCGGGGGTGAGTGTGCTCTAGGCACGGACGTCCTTGAGGACAGGCAGGAGGAGTTCCAGTGCTTTGCTGCTGCTTTGCCCCATCTTGTGTCCATGCTAGTTGCCCCTGAGGGAGACCCGGATGCACCAGACATCCCGACCCCGCGCTCTTACGCAGAGGCGGTGGCAGGTCCCTACTCCTCTCAGTGGCAGACAGCCATGGACGCAGAGATGGCTTCCTGGAAGTCCACAGGCACCTACGTCGACGAGGTTCCCCCACCTGGGGCGAACATCGTCAGTGGCATGTGGATTTTCAGGGTGAAGCGGCCGCCTGGTTCTCCGCCTGTCTTCAAGGCACGCTACGTTGCTCGAGGCTTCAGTCAGCGCGAGGGAGTAGACTTCTTCCAGACCTTCTCCCCCACCCCGAAGATGACTACTCTTCGGGTGCTGCTGCACGTTGCCGCTCAGCGAGACTACGAGCTTCACTCTCTTGACTTCAGTACTGCTTTCTTGCAGGGCAGTCTTCACGAGGAGATCTGGCTGCGCCGCCCTCCTGGCTTCACTGGGTCGTTCCCTCCTGGTACCCAGTGGAGGCTCCAGCGGCCAGTCTACGGTCTCCGCCAGGCGCCACGTGAGTGGCACGACACACTGAGGACGACACTCGCGGCACTTGGGTTCGCTCCTTCTACTGCTGACCCGTCGCTGTTCCTGCGCACTGACACCTCGCTGCCGCCGTTCTACATCCTCGTGTACGTCGACGACTTGGTCTTTGCCACTGCTGACACTCACGCACTCGCCCACGTGAAGTCGGAGCTGCAGAAGCGACACACGTGCACAGACCTGGGTGAACTGACAAGCTACCTTGGCTTGCGGATCACTCGGGACAGAGCACGGCGCACCATCACCTTGACTCAATCACACATGGTGCAGCAGGTCCTTCAGCGCTTCGGCTTCACGTACTCCTCGCCCCAGGCCACTCCTCTGCCTACAGGTCACTCGCTCTCAGCTCTGCCTTCGGATGAGTCCGTAGAGTCGAGTGGCCCGTATCCAGAGCTTGTTGGCTGCCTCATGTACCTGATGACCTGCACTCGACCTGACCTTGCATACCCTCTTAGCATCCTTGCACGCTATGTCGCTCCTGGCTGTCACAGGAAGGAGCACATGGATGCCGCTAAGAGGGTGTTGCGCTACTTGTGCAGTACGTCGGGCATGGGGCTAGTGCTTGGAGGGCGAGACCGTGTTGTACTCACTGGACACTCAGACGCTTCTTGGGCGGACGACCAGGCTACTCAGCGGTCGTCTCAGGGTTACACCTTCAGCCTTGGCTCTGGCTCTGTTTCTTGGCGCTCTACACGCTCTTCTTCTGTTCTCAGCTCCAGTTGTGAGGCTGAGATCTACGCCACAGCCATGGCGGCCCAGGAGCTACGCTGGTTGACCTACCTGCTGACTGACTTGGGAGAGCGGCCTCGTTCCCCTCCAGTGCTGTACGTTGACAACCAGGCTGCCATTGCCTTGTGTGAGGAGCACAGACTGGAGCACAGAACGAAGCACATCGCTCTGCGGTACTTCCTTGCTCGAGAGCTTCAGCAGCGTGGTCAGCTTTGTCTCCGTTACGTGGCCACTGAGGCCAACACTGCTGATGTGTTCACCAAGGCGCTTAAGCCTTGTGACCATCAGCGCTTTTGCACTCTCCTAGGTCTTGTGCCTACTGGACCTCACTTGCTCACTTCTTGACTCTGTTTGTACTGTGATCTTTATATATATACCTGCATGTTTACTCTTGCTAGGTTGTGATCATTGTACCTCTTGCTCTATTATAAACCTGCATGTGAACTGGTCTTGTGACCGCTTGCTTGTGCTCAGAATTTGTGTGGAATCCTTGAGATCCACCCTGAGCTTGTTTTGCCTTGCTCTGCCTTGACTGGTCTTGTGACCCCTAGTTCTCCCCCACTTTGCCTATGGGGGTGTGTCAAACATTATATATGTTGTTGTTGTGTAGGCTACAGTGGGTTAGCCTATATGGGGTACACAATTCTAGGGTTAGGTACTTGTATTGTTTTGCACTGTTAGTTCATCATTCCTGTTCGTTCTTTCAGACACCTGTTGCACCAGTCGCCAGTGGGTCCGTTGCTCCTGCCGCTCGTCTTAGCCGTGGAGCCAGTCACTCCAGTAGTCCGTCGCCCTTGCTTCGGTAGCCACTGAGTCAGCCGCTCCTGTGCCCGTGCCTCTGCAGCTTCAGTCGTTGCCTCCCATCTTCTCTCCTTCCACAGTTCCTCCTCCTCCTCACTTGCCCGCTGTGATTACCTCTAGCTTTGCTTATTATTGTGAACTCCTGCTATACCTACTCATTGTGCTGATTACACCCCACTTTGGCTATGGGGGTGTGTCAGAATGTTATAATTGTCTAGCCTGTAGTGGGGTGCTCTATAGCGGGTACAACCCAGTTAGGGTTTGCTATATGTATCCCAACTGCTGCTAGTGAAACCCCTCCTTTGCTCATTTCTCTCTTGCCTAGCTAGGTAAACCCTAGCTATGGCTCCTCATCGTGCCTACTATTTTGACAAGAAAAGGAATGAACCAAGTCCTGTGACAGGGAGAATGCATGAGGAAACCTGGCTGCTGATAAAGAAAACGATGACAATGAGGGTTTGAAGCAAACGGAATGAGCGGCGCTCTTCCTGCAACCCCACCGTACAGCATTTTAGCTTACCTCACGAGGAGCACTAGGAGCTTCACTGGACAACAATTCTTAAGTCGATACGCGTTGACGTCGAAAAACCACGCTTCGCTCCTCGTGTTCGATAATCTGCCATGAAGAACCGACCATGAAATAACAGAGATTAGATGCATGTCATTCAAGCAACGGCAACATATAAAATACTTTGACGTCGCTGGTGGAAAAGAGACGGATCCTAACGCGAAACTTAACCACCATTAGAATCTCACCAGAGCTAATCGCGACAAGCTAGTTAAAGAAAGCTGCCTGGAGCTCGCGTAGTAGCTGCTCTACGTGAGTATCACGAGCTGAAAACGACCTTAGGAATGACGAGTGGATAACAGGATGGATAAGAATAAGTACTCGAAAGGTGCTGGGAGAGGAGAGGCAGTAGCAGGTGGTGTAGAAGAGCTCCGATTGGTGGTGAACTAAATTGTGCCACATAACCCAACCCATCACTGTACGTACCATGTATTGAGCGATGCGTTAGTAAGATGAGAATCAGAGAAGAAACAACCTTAATTAATCAATTCGACATCACGAGAAACGAAGTGTACAGTAAAAGAATGCCATACCATTCCCGTACGTGGCTGCCTGGGCAGATTCAGAGTAGCGGCGGCATAGGCAGGGCCAAGAACTTTCCCGCCAAAGTTGGGGTAACCTCGGGGTACCCTCCCGAACTGTAAAGCTTTCTGATTGGTCTAATTTTCTGTTACACGTTCGGAGCTAAGGTTGGCGGTCGTCGCTGACGTCGCGAGTGTCTGGGGGTAAGTTGTCGGTAACTCGCAGGGAACTTGTGGGTCACCCCGTGAGGGTGACTCTGGGGTCACCATCATTCTCGAAGTGATTTCGGCGTTTCGAATTTTGGGATGTGAGAAGGTGAGTCACAGAGGAGCAGGACTGTAGATGAAGCGGTGGCGGTACAGACAGTGGGGAGTGCGAAGAAGGGAAGGTGCTCATGCCCTTGCTCTCCTGCCCTCCTTTGCTCTTTCTCTCCTGCTCTTCTCGCTTTTCTCCATAATCTTCACGTACACCCAGTTACAGGAAGCCACATATGTGAACATTGACGGGCGGGTGCAGATGACGCGGGCAGCAGTGCTGGGAAAGCACTCGACGAGCGGTGGGCCCAGTGCATGTATGGTACAGGACAACGAGGATGCCATGCTCTGCCCGAGGCCACCCTAACACGGCATGTGCTCTACAGCTGAAGCATAGAAAGATTCCATATGAGATCGTGAGGCGAGGCCAGCCAACACCAACCCTGACATCACTGCTTGATCCGATGTGGTTTCACTTCAACTGGCTGCGCAAAATCTTTGGGAAAAAACGAAACCAACACACAACCCCCCCCACCCCCCCCCCCCCCCCCCCCCCCCCCCCTCCCCTCCTTCCCTCCTCTCCCCGCTCCCTTCCCCCTTCTCCCTCCCACGCGTCAGGGCATTCCTCGGCATTCGACTTGCAATTCAGGGTAAGGTTTCACGACCTTCCTGAAATTTCAGGGCAAAAAAGATTATTTACCCTGATATTTAGGGGCCTGGTGTGGCTAGGCACGGTGGCACAAACGTAGCGGTTACGACTAAGATAGCATGGGAATGAAAAAAGTATGGTATACAAAACATCAACGAGGAGAGAGGTAGTTAGGCGTGTGTCAGCCATCAAAGTACCCATACTGGACATCTAACAACAAAGTCCTGTACTATAAAACGCAAGAAATGAGTGTAGATTTGTGCGTCTCAACAGGTCCATCCAAAGTTCCATCCTCTCCCCAAAACAAATCGTCATAATTCTCAATACCTGGAGAGATGAGAATGGCAGCTTCCTCTTTTAGGACTTCCGAAGGCCGGATTGGAAAAGCATCACCTTCAGCACCTCCATGCAGGTCCATCACATGTGTAGCACCAGCTTTAAAAACAATTGGGCCAGGATTCAAGCATGCAGGTGCTGATTCGTCAGCGCGCCTCACTCTTTTAGCACACGGCTCGCCATCAGGCAAACCATTCTCTTTCCAATCACAGAATCCCCCGCTGGGCATGGGTGGTGTATCATTGTAGCTGAGGAGTGCAGATACGATACGGAGCTGAATAGTCTCATGTGCTTCACAGGAAGGCGAGTTCTCGCGCTTGACTCTAGAGTCACCTTGCAAGGAACAACCATTGGCAGCAGCAGCAGCGGCGGCGGCAGCGACGAAGGCAGCTGATTCCGTCACACCACTCCCATCCCCATCATCTGCTGGGTCGAGTAGGCACAGCTGGATGCTGCTTCTAGAATCAGCAGTGGAATCAGCTCCCTGCGCTGGAGCCGCTGCTGCAGCGCTGCTGGCGGAGACGGCTGCAGTAGCGGCAGGAGGATTCAGCTCTGCAGGGGCATGAGCATCACGTTGCACTGAATGCGGGTCAGGAACCGAATCAGGTTCGGCCTTCACAGCACCAGATGCAGCATCACAGTCGCCGCCCTCCTTGTCCAAAGCTTCAGCAGTAGAGTGAGCACCAGCGGGGGGGAGTACCGTAGTAGAATCATTGTTAGGATAATGTTGCTCCTGGAGTGGATCCATACTCTCTTTCTCAGGCGCCTCAGCAACACCCCGGGGGTGCAATGCGGTGGAAAGGTTCGGTTCCTCCTCGCAGATGCGTTTCTCCAGAGGAGGCGGGTGGTTGTGGTGGGGGTTACTGTAGTTGATGTGAATTGTCGACAAAGTGTATTTTCTCCGGCGGTCGTACTCTACTGTTTTCTTTGCTGTGTAGGAGAAGTCACCAGCGCTTTTGGAGCAGGAACACTTGAAGTAGGATCTGCCCACGCGATTGGGACATGTGTTATTCGTGTCAACTAATAAAATTGGTTTCACGCATAGTAGTAGACTCGTGTGACCTCAAATTGGGGCGGAAAAGAGCAACTTCTCAAGCATACTAGACCTAGCAGTGGCTAGGTGTGATTGTGAACATTCCCGCTCAAACAACCAGACTTACCGAGTGGTGTAGGTCTTGTAAACATGCTTTTGACCGTACTTCAGCCAGATGTAGCCGTCAGCACGAACGATATCCTGCATCATGCCGGCATCCATGGGCGACTCGGAATCTTGAGCTGACATTGCGCTTGTCAATGTAAAATCTCTTCAAAAGAGCTGCTTTTCCGAGCCCTAACTAACTTCAAGTACAGACTCAGGAGGCGAGGAGCAATGTCAGCGCCAGTGGAGAGGTGAGACTCGAGAAAAGATGTTCAGGGTGTTCTGAGGTGAACACGACAATTTAAAGTCCTTTTCCACCGCCTTGTAGCAACTCTCTCTCCTGGAGTAAAGCAGCTCATCCAGCCTGCACTACTAGTGGTTCTGATTCGCCTCAAAAGCGTCTAGCAGCTCATCCAGGCTGCACCACTACCACTAGTTCATCCAGCTCAAAAGCGTCCAAGTAGCTCATCCAGCTCGTCTAGTGCCACTAGTTCCAACTTCCAGCACCAGGGTCGCCGCTAAGGCCGCACTGATCCACTGCTGTGGCGGGGAAGCAAGCAAACGTGATCCACAGAAAGGGGGGAGGGGAAGCTTTCCCGTAAGGTGCCCCCAGAGGGTTGGCGCAGGGGGGTAGGGGGGCGGGGGGGAGGGGACGGTGAGGAGGGGAAGGGGGGGGAGGGTGTGGGGAGGAGGAGAGGAGGAACTTGTAGCTGTGCATGCCGCAGAGGGAGCTACATCTGAAGAGTCCAGTACTACACACGCTTGACAATAGTACCAGTGGTGACCAAGTGCATGACCGTTGGCGGATGAGAGGTTTGCACTCTGTGGAGTGAGCAGATGCGTGTTGCGATAACGCTTGGATTAAACCTAATCGGAATGAACCACGTCAGTAGGTTGTCATTGGCTATGACATATTCACATCGACACGATCGTGCTGAGTGGGCATGCGGGCTGCTCTGGTTGAGATTTCTCTGTCGCCTTTTTCCGTTACTTTTGTTATGGGTGCTTGCTACTTCACCAGTCTGACCTAAGTCTGAGGGCTTTGGTCAAACGGTGTGGGGCACCTCCAATGTGGTAATAGTCGGACTAATCGCGAAACTGACTCGGGTTTGGTACACCCTCGTTCTCAGCACTCTCACCGGCGGAAGCACTGGCTACAGTGTTTGGACGTAGCGGGCTGGTGAGATAACTTGGTTGCGGGCAAAGTCGCACGAGGTGACGAGGCAAGCCTTGGGCAGTAGAAAACCTTTAACGCTGAATAACCGTCTCAACCGTTTTGAAATCAACAGTAACATTTTAAAACGTTTGAAAACTTGACTGACCGCACTGGGTGAAATTGTCACTATAACGCATGTGATAAGACCTTCTTTGGTCCGTTGCGGCTACACAAAGCGTCGCGGTCAGTATAACATATGCCAGTCTATCGAGAATGAGGGTGTAATACTATACGCGCTACTGACTTGGGTTTACGCAAGGGAACGTTCTTGGCCCGTGTCAAACTTCGGGCCAGGCTGCTTGACACGAGGTGGAATAGACAGGCATGGGGCAAAATCGTTTTTTAGTGTCAGACCCCCCTGGGGAGCCTGACACCAAGTAAACTTGGCTCGAATCTAGACACGGGCCAAGAACGAACCCTAAGGACGCGTCACCTGAACGCCGAACGTGCAAAAAACGAATTTTGACCGTACTGGAAACTTGCGTATTGCATTCAAAAGTTCTAGACGTTTTTTTAACCACGAAAAATATCGAACCTACGTAGGTTCAATCGCAGGTTCGGCGTTCAGGTGACGCGTCCAAATAAACCTAACCACCAATAATTTCAAGCCCCCACCGTGCACTGTTCCGCTTTTGATAGTTACCCTGCCCTACTTTCGGGTGCATACCCAGAAACCTAGATATAGGGGATATGAATGACGTCACATGTTGGAGCTGGAAATTTCAATTGGGCGATTATAAGACAAATACAGCTAGTATGAAATATGTTTTTCTGTTGCGCATCCCGTTGCGTAGCTTTCAGGTGTCAGGAACATCACTCTGCGTAGAACGTATGAAGTCCCACACAACCCTCAGTCAAAATTTGTATAAACGGTGCATACCTCTTTGCACATGTGGGGGTTGAAAATAGACCGATAGAAAATAGCGGTGGTTAGGTGTACTTGGTGCATTTTTATCATCGCAAAAGCCCTTGGTTTGTTTCGATGGTGGATGGGTGTATATATTTTTTTCGCCATTCCTTACTGCGACCGTCCATCGCGTACGGCAGCAGCCGTTGTTTGCCCGTTACGGCTAACGGGGCTTCGCCAACTTCGCGCGCACTGTTTCACCAAACCATGCACTGCCGGCTCAGCCGAGTTGGCCTTACGGTGAGTCACTACACAACGGGAGTGGACTACGGAGGAGGGCACGGGGTTGTGCGAGTGATCGTAGCGCTCTAGTAGTGTTCTTACTTCTTGCTTGTATTCACAGAGAAGTTTGGCAAGAATTACACGAAGGAAGTTGAAAGAACAATTTGCATAGAAAGTTGATAGCACAATTGAGCCATGCAGAAGGATATGACTAGAATGGCATGCAACACCTAACTTTGGCGAAATCTGCCAGCGTAGCAGAAGAGCGGCTTGCCAATGCTGCACCAGAGTATTCTGCCAGCGTTGCAATGCGCGCGGTCTGCCAACACTGCACTCGCAGGTGACTATCTGCGCAGATGTGTGCACCTACGAAGTAGGTGCAGGTTGACGGTTTCACTATCAGGCACATTGCGCATGTGCCAGGTAGAAAACGTGTCGTCGGTTTTGCCAGGTGTGCACCGCCGACCACGTGATCCGTTTCGCAGGTAGAACTTCGCCAAAACCTCCCTGGCGAAAGTTCGCACGCCTCCGCAGAATTTCGCACACCTCTGCGAATTCGGCCGATCAGCTCGACATCGCTCGGTCGAGCCGGGCAGAGCTCCTCAACCAGAACTCTTCTCGCAGAGCTCGTCGACCAGAGCTCGTCACACGCAGCTCTTCGACCAGAGCACTTCGACCATCGCTCCTCGACGGGCCTCATCGACCGCTGTTTTCGACCAGCGCTGCCTGTCGACGATGTCGACCAGATTCCGCCGAGCAGAGCCTGCTCGATCGCAACTTCCGTCGAACTGCAGAAGCCCACTTCTTTGACCAATGCGTCGAAAACTTCCCGTAGACGGCGAGATCGGCTGCGCCCAAGCGAGGGCGGGGCCTTTCTCTTCGACAGGCCTACGCTTCGGGACTAGCCCAAACCTCGATGCTAGCTCGCACGCACCGCGTTATCTTTTGCATGTTCACACATAAGTTTTCGTTGAATGCCTTCGCTCATACTTTGTATTCGTTTTGACACCTAGTGCAATCTTCGCTATCTCGTTCCATTGCACCCGTAACACTTGATTGTTACGACCACCTTCCTTTCAAACCACGCATCTCCGCACCCCGAAAAAATCAACTTTTGATTTTTGCACTCGAAGGGACTCACGCCCCTTAGCACCTAGGAGGCACTGTCATCGCGTTCTCTCGTAAATGCGTGCAGCCACGACTGCGCCTAGAGCTAAGCAGAGCCACCGTCTCTAGACATGGCTGAGCATATCGACGTCACAACACTCACGCAGCAGCACCTGAACCAACTGCTGCAGCAGCTGCACGAAAGCTCCAAAGAGATTGCAGCGCTGACGGCAGAACGAATGTCCCTGCAAAATGACGTCACACGCGCACAACAAGCACATTCACATACACAAGGCACGCACGGATAACCTACACGACAGACACACGGAAGTGTGGGGCAACTTTCGAGCGCGGCTAGTGATGGCGTCGCCCGCAACGACGGAGACGACGACCACGGTACGGCACACCGCGAAGCGACGAATGCGGCCAGGAGTCAACCTCGCGTCACGATTTCGATGCTGACCGGCGAGTCAGCACTGCCGTCGCCGATGCCGCTCAAGCCGTAGCGTCCGTCTAGCTTCGATCCCAGTCAACGAGATGGTCCTACCGTTCAGGCGTACGACAACGTCGTACGAGCTGGAAACAAAAAAAAAAAAAAAAAAAAAAAAAAACAACAACAACAACCAACCGTTTAGGCGTGGATCTTCACCATGAACGTCTTTTTCGACGCGAACTACGTCTCGGCGAATTCTGCAAAGATTCGTTACGCCGTGTCGCTGCTGCGAGGACCCGCCATGGATTGGTGGCGCGTCATCGTCACGAAGCCGACGGACTACGCGACTCTACCGATGGACAAACCGGACCCTGGGCGCCGTCGTATTTCGTGGAGGTGCCCAAGTATTGAATGTGGGACGCGTGGTGCGCAGGTCTGCGCGCGAGATTCCAGCCAATTGCAGCTTCGATCACGGCACGTCAAAGGCTCCGCACTTGGCGCCAGCTCGGATCAATCCAGGACTACACCAGCGGGTTCTTGGCGTTATGCGAGCAGGTAGGCTACATGCACGAGGTCGCATTGACCGTTACATTGACGGCCTAAAACACGAAATCGCCCAAGAAAAACAGCTCCGCAACTTCACCAAATTTTAGGACATACTCGCAATGGCGGAGAAGCTCGACTTCTTACGCCGACCGAGACCGGGGTCCTACGGCAACAACAGA